AGACGAGATTGCGAATATTCCGAACGTGACTGTAGGTTAAAAGCGGTTTTATGCTCGCAATAAACAAAATCTCGATTTGCATATATTTGGCAGTGGCAGGTTCAGTCACTGAAGGAAAATCTTGTAAGTAATACCTATATGGTTTAAAAGCTCTTTATCGTTGGAAACGGCGCCGGGTTTTTCTCCGGCATTGGCGCCAGCACCTATAGCACGAGGCGTTTTCGCGCGGCGCGAAACGATGGCTATGCCCATATTTGGACGGCTAAGCTAAGATACACCTCTAGCCATGATTGTCCTTGGGGGAATTTTGATAGAAGTTTAGCCTAAACTCAAACAAGAGTGGCGTAGGGGAACAGCGTTGGAAGGTCATGAACCAGTCCGTAGCAAAAAGTGAAGCTATTACTAAGATCGCTGAAGTAATAAACGAGTATGTAATGACATTGATAAGGCAAGGAAATTATTTGACACGGTTGACCTTTTGGTTAATTTGCAGGGAATCGGAATCGAACTCGATGACCAGTCTGCTTTCTGGGCAAAGAAGCTGGCCGGATTCGCGTTGATATGTAGGTAAAACTTTTATCCTCTCTGATTTTGGCACCGATAATTAGTAGTGGTGCTGATTATTCAGATCGTCACATGGCACTGCTTCTGTGAATGCAGAGGCAAAAAATCTGACTTTTATAAAAGCCCTATTTCTTTAGTTAGGAATTGGATATATGTCTTCACAGATAAACTTTTCTGCAAAAATTCTCAAACCAGTAAAAAGGGTCCCAAGCGCAGGGCTGGAAGTACGTGAAGGAGTGGTTGTATCACCTGCTACTGATTACTAGCACATCAACAATTCACCTAGCAACGGGTTCGAATATCTGTGGACACCTCTGAAGGCCTCCTGAGACCAGGGAAACTGAAGACTGCTATCGAACAACATGGCCTTCCACCCGAAAAAGAATAAAAATAAAGGCAGAGCCCGCAGTCGCTTATAATTACCTAATGCTAAGCTCCTTGTGAGGAGAGAGGAGAGATGCAACGCACAATCTTTGTGAGTCCTCACGTCATTTAGTGGTAGTAGGTATCGGGACTTGGACGTTGAAGGTGCGCGAAGGTTGGCTAGGATGTGACTCCGACGGTCTGACTACTCGGCCCGGTATCTAAACTCGAGGCTTCTGGCTCTCGCTTGCGCAGAAGGTAGGGCGCTTATTTGGTAGCGTTTCCAACCGATTTCTCTCGTCTCTTCTCTACGAAAAAAGCAATACACCTTGTGATTTCCGAGTCCCGGATACCCTACTCATCTTTTTGTAGGCTCATCTCGCTACGGTGTTACCTTTAAATTCCTGTAGAGTTCGCTGAGTTCCATCTGATGCATCCGCCGAACCCAACAGATCCTCTTTTTGCGTTTTTCGCAGGTTATTCTTTTTTACCTTTCATGGAGTTGAAAAGCCATGTTAGGACTGTTGAAAAGACGAGTTTGTCTGCTTGTCTACAACTTTTCTTCAGTACGTAGAGGCGCCTTCACGTGTCCGAGTAAGTCGAAGTGACCGGCCTGTGAAATGGCAGAGGAAGGAGTCTGGCCGCCGCGCTGGCCTTTCTACCAGTTGGACGGTCGGCTTACTGAGAGGGAAACAAGTCCAGTAGGAAACGCCGCGGATTACGCTCTCGGCTCCGCCCCGACTGATTGCGGCGATAGCAACTGTACATGCGAGATGGTGACCGTTGAATCAGAGAACAGTCAACTATTAATAATAGGTGAAAGGGACCTCTAGCTGACGTTTTTTTTTCAGACGTCATGTCAAGGCAGGCCTACTCAGTCCTACTTCTGAGCAATACAGTAGCTAAATGAGGGGCTAGCAATACCATCCGTTTTCTCAGATTGATCCCCTGCTTCCTGGGTATCTCAGAGGAACAGTGTGAAGTTGTCTTAAGCGTTAGGAGAGCTCTCAGAGATCACGATTCAGATTCAGCACCCATAAACTCAGTACTTTTCAGGGCTGCTGCTGTTTCATGAATTTCTTCTCGTTAAAAACGTTCGTTTCGCGATTTCAAATAGCAGCCTCTATAGCGAAGATTGCGGCTACTGGCCTCGTCATCGGAACCGGATTCTACATGCTGGATTAATTTTTTCAAGAATGTAAGTATTCAAACGCTCCCACACTTTGGACCGTTTCCCACGTGGGAAAAGGATACTGGCTACCCAGGGAACTCAGTGGGACGAGTCGAAGTGTGAGAGGAGACTTGAGGTAATACCTTGCTCTCTGGTAACAACTGTTTGAATTGCAGCTGAGCACGAAAAAACTTACAACATCCCTTTTCGTGGGATCCAACTGGAACATTGGTGCCATTGTGTCGGCGTTGTTCTCCTGTTTGTTCTCTTACGATGGTTGGGACATTCTGAACTTCGGAGCCGAAGAAATCGAAAAACCCAAAAGGTAAATGCAGTTGGAATGTACGAAGGGCAGTCTGCTGAGTGTGGGGCGTTACAGAATAGTAGGTGAAGCTAAGCTTCTAGCAGGCCACTTTGTGATGACTTGTAAATCCCTGTGATCAAAGTAGCTCATTCAAAGGATTTCGCAGCTCTTCACAGGAGTTCGCAGGTCTGACCAAAGTGAGACCTGTTAGTCAACATGAATAAAAAAAGGCTAGCGAAAGTACGAAATATCCCTCCAAGCCGAACAGCCCCAATTTATGAGTAGTGGATATCACTTTCGACTGAATTCATGTATTTATAATTCATTACTTCGGATAGCGCGTTCGAGTCGAGAACAGTGTGCAATGCTTTCGACATGCATTTATCTAGTCAAACGCGACGAAGAGAGCTGCGAACGCGGACAGTCTGAACGCTGCTTAGATGAAGGCGTTCGCTAGTGGCTTGTCGGCAAGGCGCAAATCGTAATTAAGCCGCACTGGTTGGCGTGACCGGCCATGCCGCTGGCCACAGGCAACAAGTGGGTAGTTCGAAGATATTCCTTCAGGAACTCTTTTTCTCTAGTAGAGCTCCTAAATGTCATGAACTATGGATGTTAGGTTTCTTGTTGCTCACCACACTCGGACTGACGCGTTGCCGCGTCCCTTGCAACGCACGCGACGGTGCGGCATATTGCGATTGTCTTGACCGCTTCTTGCTGTCAAGTATCTGCAGAACTGGAGAAGAAAGGGAAAATAAGCCAATTAAGTGTTGAAGAGAATCTGAAAACTTACAGAACTATGCCGTTGGCAATTGTGATTGGAATGGTGTGCATCGCAGTGATCTTACGTTGCAGTCAACTTTGCCTACTTTATCGTACTCAGCCCAGCTCAAATATTGAGTAGTGAAGCGGTCGCCCAAGTACGTTCATTTGTATTTGATGAGTGGTCGGTGATGCACAGAAGCCATGTACATTCTAATCCCTGCAGACGATAGGGCGTGTGACGTGGGCACGGCTTGGAACGGAGCCAGATCAGATTTCTCACCCAGTTTTGTAGTGGGCTCAGAATGGCATCATTAGTGGAGGACGATCTGGCTGCACCCCAATACGCGCCGTTTCGCACGCCTTATCGTTTACATGGACTGTAAAGGAAAAGTTGTTGATAAGTGACAATAACAATGAGAGCTCTCGTTTTACTTACGGTTCACCCAGGCTGCATCGATATAAGCCATAGCCCACAGGAGTGTAGAAAGTCCAGAGTTTGGTTATGAGGTCGGGTCAGACATGCAAGTCTGATCTGGCTGCGCTCCAAGCCGTGCCCACGTCAGACGCCCTATCGTCTGCAGGGGAGACACCCTAGAACATTCGTCCGAATTTCTATCATAAATGGCTCAAAAAGATAACTTCCCCCTAGACAGACACAGCCTCAACTTCTCAGAATAAATTTGTGGATGTCTTTATCCACATGGGTACGATAGGAGGAAGACAAGATACTTTATGGTTTGATAACACTATGCCAGTGCTACTGCATTTTCGCTAGGTCGCTGCCTCCATCGTTCAGGCGACAGGTGTCGAAAACTTGCCGCGCGCTACGGAGCGACAAACTGAATTGCTTTGACCTTTGCCCCTTGCCTCTTTCTGCGCTTTTCAATGTACTGCATAGGTGGTGGCCCCCGATCGTTTTGGAAAGCACCTACCAACAACTTTATGAGGCAGATTTAATATTGTCTATACCAAACTCTATTGAGATCAACGGTCTTTCTTAGTGTGGTGCCTACTTTCAGACATTCGCCCAAGTGGCCTTGGGCAAAGCGGATTTCATAATGCCGATTTTTGTTGCTATTCTGCTTGTAGGATCTTTGAACAGTACGATGTTCTCCGCTAGCAGGTACTACTTATTCGGTTCCCAATGTGTGATCAGCTTTGCACCTTCTATTCTTCAGATACCTCCAAGCAGCTTCCAAGCAGGGACATCTGCCTACTTTTATCAGCGGAATCAATCCGATCACTGATTCACCACGAAGTGCTCTCTTTGTACATGTACGTGATTTCGACTTATGTATTAAGTAATTCTCAAGTTCCACTTAACCACTAGTTGCCAAGGTCCATCCCGAAAAATTGTCTGAGCGCTGGCATGATGCCTAAGGTGAACTCGTCGAAACATACTTGCCAATGGTTAACGTGTACAGTCCACTATCTACCGCTTAATGGCCCTACCTTGATGGAATTTTGACCACGCTGCTTCGTTCTTGTTCAGGTTCTACTTTTCAGTTACTCTTCTTTCACTATGAACCGTAACTGAATTATCGTGCCCATTACCTTTCATCAACGGCAAGTAGTACGATAAATCGACAATGGTTGATATAGGCGAGATTATACAAGCGGCGAAAGATATATTGAGCCGCTCAGTTCAACTCTGAGTGGCTCCTCTCAACTGAGCGGCTGTTATAGCGCCTAGGCAAGGTGTAACATGCCGAACCAGACGCCCACCGCAAGCGGCCGCCACAAAAGCGCGCAGAGGAATACGTGCTGGTACTATTATCGCGTTCGATTATGAAGTGCAATCGATATATAAGCTTTGTGACTGGATATTATGAATGGAAAGACGGCAGATGTCTTTACAAAGGCGGTTGTCTTGCAAGATGTAACCGGGAAACTCGTCCAGACGAATTGCTCCTACAAATGCCGTTGCGTGCGTAAGTTTTTTCTTGCAAATTTATGGGTGATTGTTTTTAACGAGAAAGAGAATAAGCAGTCGGAAAACGGCCTAAGATAAGGTTTCCTCACGAACTTAAGTTTGGACGAGCAGGGAAGAGTTGTTGAGACGAAGGAAAAAAAGTGTAAGATTAGGGCCGAGAGCCGGAAAAACTCAGGCATCACGCCCGCGAGAAATTGTTTGGCTGGTACGATACTATGAAAGGGGTCGACTATACGATACCTCTGTCGAGAGTTTTCCTACTTCGTCCCATGTATTACTAGGTTCGAGTGCTATATGGTCCACTGAAATCCCATCAAACTCCCAACCTTCTTGAATTTTATGCAATTTCATCCGCAAACGATCCCTGCTAAAGAGATAGGCGCATTCGGAGGAAAGTTCTACCCTGAATTCACCTTAGCAGCCGCCTAGCTTGCATGGCAGGTTCAGTTGAAGTTTACCACGGAAGATCCTTTTCAAATGCGAGTTTCTGACCTTTCAATGATCGCAACTTCGTTGAGACATAAGGTAGGGCTTTGAAACCTAGAAGGTGTCGTCTTCTGGGAAAAAGGAAAAAGTTCTCTGTTAGAGTGATGGGTCTTTCCGCTGCAGGTCCATCCTCCCGCGGGTTTAATCCAAAAGCTCACTTCAGCTGCAAGTAGGACTCCCACTGCGATAGCTCTTTCCGCTTCTTTCGAAGCGCTCTCAGCACATTTTTTCTCTTGTGTAAAATGGAAGAAGATCTGAAGAATATAGACAATGATCAATCTTCGCAATGGATGCGCCATGCACTTGCCATAGGAATTTGGACCTCCGAACAGGGCACGCCATCGCGTTGTGATCATTTCCTGACAAGTACGACCTCCCCCCGTATTCTATCCTCAATATGACCTTCCTTGGAGGGTCAGGATTTGACTATCATCTTCCGCTATCGGAAATAGTAGTTGTGTAGATCCTTGGCTTTCTCTCTCTCAACAACGGCCAAATATACACGACATCCCTCCTTCACGGCCAAATATACACGACATCCCTCCTTCATAGCTGTCTGTGAAACGTGTGTCTGTTGAAAGTATCAACTACTTCAAAATTTTTCTCATTACCAGACCAAATACGACTCCCCACTCCCTCACAGTCAAATACGATCCCCCGCCCCCCTCCCCGCTGTGACCATCACAACGATGGCGTGCCCTGCCTCCGCAGCTACTCTCTGGATTATTACAATAGTTGTGCACTCTTGCTATGTCACACAACTCAGCGATATGGTGCAGTGCCTTCCACAGTAACTTGCAGCCAACTCGGCCAAGATACCGCACTGCACAATGAGGCACTCGAACCCCAGGCGGGTTTCCAAACTGCATCTCGGTTGACCGTTCGAGTGTGCTATCCATTATGGCACCGGGACCGCTCTTCGACA